TATTTTTATTATCATAAGGAGTATCACACTTTGTACAGTAAAAATGTGTGCCATACAAACCTTTCAATCTGTTTATAACGTCGAAGTGATTCCCGTTTTTATACAAATAAAGTTTGGTTGTTTTTTCGGGGCCCTCATAGATAAGAGTGTTGAAGTTTTCAGCGCAAATTATCTTTATTTGTACATCCAGCAACTCCTCTGCCTTCTTAAAATCATCCAAAGTAAAGCCTTCGTCATAGCACCCGCCCAACAGACCACAAAGTTTTTCCGCCAAAACCGTCTGCAATTTTCGGCCCTTTCGCATATTTTTCACATCACTATCTGTTATCTTGTAACCTAAAATCTCTGTTGTGATGTATGTAAGAGCCGTTACGATTGCTCTAGCCCCACAAAGATTATCATTATTAACAATCCGTGTAATGCTCTTTTTGGTACGACGATCCTCTGACAAATTTATCATTTTACGACGACCACTACCCCTAGGCATCTTGAAAATTTGAATATCAAATTTTGTGTCACCCAAAAGAACAGTATCGTTAGATGTTAATATGTTTTCAACTTGTTGCAACAAATTATCCATATTGTCTTCTGTGGTTACTTTTGTCGATATAGGGTGATTGAAATTGTCGTTGTGGGCAATTATACGAATTTTATCACCTTTTTTGTAGCCACCTTGTGTCTTTGCATCATTCAGTGCCTTTTCCAACAGATTTTTTAAATGCTCTTCGCCGTGACTAAGAGAACCCCCTGTCGCAGAGAGTCGGAAACTATGTAGGTACGCACAAAACGTAGTTATGAACCTACGCGTTAAAACCTTCAATGACCAATTTTGAACCATTTCGAAAATTATCAAAAATTAGAAACTTAAAAAAATCAAAAAACTTTACAATTTTTTTCAAATGAACTACAAATTCAAAATGTAATATCTATTTTTCAAAAATTAAAAAAATTGCACACTTACTGTAAAGGATGATAAGAGCAAGAGCTGATAAGAGAGAGAGCACGTCTTAACGTCAGAGCTGACTGATAAGAAATGAGAGTAAATCTTGTTGTGCGCATTTTATACGTTTTCACCCTAGGTCACGTGACACTCTATGATAAGGAAAAGGGGTAAGAAAATGCTGTTTGAGAAAAAACAGGGGTGTTTATTTTCAATTTTACATAAAAACAGCTGTATAAAGTATTTAAAACATATCAGTTAGTCATTTTACGAAATCCCAGTTGTAAATTATCTATATTTTCGAGTTGCGGCTAGCTGTTATCATAATGTGATAAAACAATTAAAACCGAGTTTATTCAAAATAATAAAAGTATGTACATTTATAATTAATTATTAGAACAAAACAAAATCTATTTTGCCAAAAACGACGATCATTTTTCCATAAAATGATAATAAAATTTAGGGCGTTGTCCCGCTTCGGGAGAACTCGTAGCACTTCGGCTAGAAAATCTGTGCAAAATTAACAAGATCTTACCTGTCAAATGAGGATTACGTCATCGCTACTTTTAGGCAAAGATAGTGCCGTGTGCAAAACATACTTGTTGTGTTTTATCAAGGTATTATGTCAAACGGCTAAGATAGGTGATGTCATCGATATTTTTAGGTAAAGATAATGACGCGGGCGCGGCGTTTTGGTTATGCAGAAAATAAAAAGGCATGCTAAATTCCATATTATTTTATTTGTTAAATTAATACATATTACATGATATTCTTGAAGGAAGGCATCGGTTAGTGGGATGATGACTTCTGAAGTATTCCGTTTTCTTAGTAGCCACTAGATGGAGACAATTAATGAATAAGCTCTAGATAACGCAATTCACTTATTATTTCTTCTGCTTCTTTTCCTTGTAGAGCATCGTTTTTCGAAAGAATTTTGAGGCCTTCTACAAGTATATTTGGATCGTTATTTTCGTTATAGAGGGTCCATATTTTTTCCACTTCATCAAGTAACTGTTTGTCGACAGCACTCAGATCCTCAATACGAATTTTATTTTCCTGCTGTATGTCTGGTGTATCTTGAACATTGTTGTGTCTTTTAGACTTTTGATGTACTGACATTGACGCATCGTGGTCATGTATTTCGACCTTTCTTGTAATACCATTTACGGTCTGTGGTCTTCTTTTACACAGGTGTTCCGATGCATCGTGGTCACGTGATTCGTCATTTCTTACGTTAGAATGTAAAGTCTGTGGTTTTTTTCTTTTAGCTGGATACATGGGCTTAATAATTTTTTCGTATTTAACGGTGTGAGATTGGTGACGTAGCCTGCCTCGTCCGTCCTTGTGGGCACCTGATATATCTAGCAGAGATTTGTAGATTTTTTGATCGGCTAGTGTGTATTGTAGAGGGTTTTTGGAAAAAAGCAATTCGTATAAACCAGGTGTAGCTTTAAAAATGTGTGAATCCATTTGAATGTTATCTTTATCAAAATCAATGGGATGAGTTCCAAACTTCCAGTCACCGGTAGACCAATTAAATCTCGGACCGTATACTTGGTCGATGTTCCCCACATCTTGGATATATTTTTTAAGATAAGGGTAGGCATCATTACCCTTCACGGCTTGAGTACGTCGAACTTCCTCGGAAGTGAGGTGTTTTGTTTGAATATTTTGTGCTTCGTCTTCTTCGAGATCGGGTGTTTTATTAGTGTTGGTTTCATTTGTGTAGTTGAGTATTTCATTAAGAGGTGTAGTTACTGGTTTTAACGTCGATTCTAGTAGCTCTTTTTGATCAATTTGCATCCTTTTGAGATCATTATACTTTGCCCTCACAATTGCGGCGAGTCTTTTTACTTGAACTGCTCTGTTTGACGACATCTTAACAAATGATGTCATAGTTTTCATCTCCTGTATTTATACCCTCTGCTACCCTCTGGTACGCTCTGTTACCCTCTGTTACCCTCTGATACCCTCTGGTACCCTCTGCTACCCTCTGGTACCCTCTGCTACCCTCTGTTACGCTCTGTTACGCTCTGTTATATGGTCTCTGCTACCCACGGTGTGTCTCTGCTACCCTCTGTTACCCTCTGTTGCCCTCTGGTACGCTCTGTTACCCTCTGTTACCCTCTGCTACCCTCTGTTACCCTCTGCTACCCTCTGGTACGCTCTGCTACCCTCTGTTACCCTCTGCTACCCTCTGCTACCCTCTGGTACGCTCTGTTACCCTCTGTTACCCTCTGCTACCCTCTGGTACGCTCTGTTACCCTCTGTTACCCTCTGATACCCTCTGGTACCCTCTGCTACCCTCTGGTACCCTCTGCTACCCTCTGTTACGCTCTGTTACGCTCTGTTATATGGTCTCTGCTACCCACGGTGTGTCTCAGTTACTCTCTGCTACCCTCTGGTACCCTCTGCTACCCTCTGTTACGCTCTGTTATATGGTCTCTGCTACCCTCTGTTACCCTCTGTTGCCCTCTGGTACGCTCTGTTACCCTCTGTTACCCTCTGCTACCCTCTGTTACCCTCTGCTACCCTCTGGTACGCTCTGCTACCCTCTGTTACCCTCTGCTACCCTCTGCTACCCTCTGGTACGCTCTGTTACCCTCTGTTACCCTCTGCTAACCTCTGCTACCCTCTGGTACGCTCTGTTACCCTCTGGTACCCTCTGCTACCCTCTGTTACCCTCTGCTACCCTCTGGTACGCTCTGCTACCCTCTGTTACCCTCTGCTACCCTCTGTTACCCTCTGCTACACTCTGTTACCCTCTGCTACCCTCTGTTACCCTCTGCTACCCTCTGCTACCCTCTGTTACCCTCTGCTACCCTCTGCTACACTCTGTTACCCTCTGGTACCCTCTGTTACCCTCTGTTATCCTCTGCTACCCTCTGTTACCCTCTGCTACCCTCTGTTACCCTCTGCTACCCTCTGGTACGCTCTGTTACCCTCTGTTACCCTCTGATACCCTCTGGTACCCTCTGCTACCCTCTGGTACCCTCTGCTACCCTCTGCTACCCTCTGTTACCCTCTGCTACCCTCTGTTACCCTCTGCTACCCTCTGTTGCCCTCTGCTACACTCTGTTATCCTCTGCTACCCTCTGTTACCCTCTGATACCCTCTGGTACCCTCTGCTACCCTCTGGTACCCTCTGCTACCCTCTGCTACCCTCTGTTACCCTCTGCTACCCTCTGTTACCCTCTGTTACCCTCTGTTGCCCTCTGCTACACTCTGTTATCCTCTGCTACCCTCTGTTACCCTCTGCTACCTTCTGTTACCCTCTGCTACCCTCTGTTACCCTCTGTTACCCTCTGTTGCCCTCTGCTACACTCTGTTATCCTCTGCTACCCTCTGTTACCCTCTGCTACCTTCTGTTACCCTCTGCTACCCTCTGCTACCCTCTGCTACCCTCTGATAGGATAGTCATTGGCCTATTAAACACTTTATTTGTTTCTCTTTTACGATTTTTCTTTTAAAAGAATACCATTCTTATCTGTTATCGTGTACAAAATGGGTCTGTGGTTTCTTGTTTGCTTGCTTCTACACAAATATATAAAGTTCGAATCTCGCCCTGGAAATGTAACAGTCTTTGATATTCTTTTAACCTAATACCTTGTTTGTTTGATAAATATGTCTGAGTGCGAGTTCCTTGTTCAAATTAATATTTTATCAGTAAACTTTCAATTTATCAACTTAAATTTGGTTCAATTCACACAAGATCTTGACTTTGTGTTAATTACTTTTACAATAAATAATTTCGTCTACAATGGCGAGATATGGCTAGGTAATAATTATGGTGAGGGCGACTTGTTTCAATTGCAGTTTTCTATAGATGGACAGATATTTTACATCGAGAACTTGCATGTGAACGAGGGTGAAACATTGGAAGTAATCGTAGAAGATGGTTATTTTACCTTTGGAACTGTGTACATTGTTTTCACACCTACTATTAGTAATGCTATAATGATTCTCTAATGATTTAATGGTTCTATTATATGTAGTTTTTACTGTAAAAGTGTAAAATAATAAAAAACATGAAATTTTTTAAAAATTTTATTTTATTTTATTATTTTTCTATTTTTTTTTTTGTTTTTTTTACCGGTGGAGGCGTCAGTGATATGGATGCCTCCTCTTCTGCCTCCTTATCCTCCTCCTCCTCCCTCTCCTCCTCCTCCTCCTCCTCCTCCTTAGAACTGTCACTATCGCTGTCTAGTCTGAAACAAAAAGACACATTATAATATACACATTTCAACACCTTTAATACTTACTCATACAAACTAGGACAGCCTATTAGTTCTAGGATGTCTCTGTAAAGCAATAACAATAATTATAAACGTGATAAAATAACGTTATATACATAACACATTAGCTGTATCTTTATACTTACAAGTCTATATCGCTCTCCAGGCTGAAAATGTAAAAAATTATTTTATGCAAAAATAACAATAGTAGATTTACTTACTCATACACATTATTGTTAGCCGTTGATATGCATCTGTGAAATTTAGAAAATTAATTTAGGAAAGTATAAATAACAATGTACTTACTCTTCTGGGTGGCTCTGCGTCGCCACTGTAGGGGTGGTCTCCCCGGTTTGTGTCCCCTTGGACACCGAGGAGGAGGACCCCTCTATTGGAGTAGTCATGGTGCTTACATGGAGCTCTATTGGAGTAGTCATGATGTATGTTTGTGAAACAGCTTGGTAGACCTTATATATTAGCTTAAACCACGAATATTTTGGTATGTTGCATTTTACAAAAAAACAATCGTGGTTTTTTGTTATGATGCGTTTATGAAAAACAAAATCGGCGTGCGGTGGTCTAACCATGTTTTTGTTTGCTGCATTTTCCTATTATCTGATGGCAAATCAATACTTTTAATAAATAAATGGTTAAGGTAGTTTAAAAAATCCATTTTAAACAAAACAATTTTTCAAAAGTGTGGTAAAGTTATCGCCATAGCCTTTATCGCCATAGCCCTTGCATTTGTGTGTTGCACTTTTACCGATTATCTGCGGACGTATCAATGCTTTGATAAATAAGTGGTTAAGTCAGTGTAAAACCGTTTCTGTTATCATTACTGTTTTTTCCGTTTTGGTAGGTTTAATCAATGCAGAAGCTTGCATAACACGATCAACAACAGATTCTGTGGGTAGATATACATTTTTACAAAAACAAGTCTTAATATCGAGTCTTGATACTAATCCCCACCCATATACATACTATGAGAAGCCTGGTCGAGAGCATTGAGTATTATTTAGTGTCTACAAACAGAAGTACCAACACGATCCCACCAGGTATACCTGTTTTCCTGTCTCCTTTACCAATGTTCTTTTTCCTTCTTTTCTGTCGTTTAATCAAAATATTCGACACTAGAAAACGTGGTGTTTTTTGATGAACCGGTAAGACGTTTAGAGGCCCTGTCACAAGCGCCTGTAGACGTTATGTCAACTAATTACTTTTTGCAAAACGCACCTCGTTTCGCAACGAATTGCAAAACATAAGAAAAAGGCATTGCCTGCTTGGCCGTGTCTGATGCACGCTTTTTTTTAGCGCCTATACAGACACTTTTTTTTTTGCTGGACATTCGGTACCCTATTTTACCTATTTTTGTACGAGATGTTGCAGTGTCGGTTTAACTGGCACGGGTGGTTGGTGGGAATACCTGTTTTCCTGTCTCCTTTACCATTGCTCCTTTGTTTCCACCTTCCTGACGATTGTAAATTTTTTCCGTAATCATTGAAGTTAGGACCTCTTATGTTTTTCCTATATGACTAAAGTATACAACTTATAATAATAAAGAAATTATATAGTAAAATCTATCGTCTCTATTCCAGTGGTTCTTAGCGTTGTCTAAAACGTTATCTGTAGCCAAAAAGCGTTTGCCACAAATATGACAAACAGTTGCTCCATTTGTGTTGGGCTTTTCAGAACCGATATAGCTGGCTATATATATTGAACAATATTTGCTTCGTAAATACTTCTTTGTTACTTTACTATTTTCTGTTCGTTTACTTCGTGTTGCATGAAGTGTGAAGTGAAGAGGGTTATCACCATTTGTTTTACCTACTTCGTGTAGAATGGTATTACTTTCTATAGGTAGTGTTATGCTTATACTCTTTCTAATATGTAGCCCTGTTTTCATGTTTATAACTATTTTTGTGGCGGGTATTCTTTAAATATCATTGTACGAAATATTTGACCGTTAGCGATCTAGACCCTTCGCCAACACCTTCGAAGATGACATTACGTCCCTTACTACCATACTTATACACCACGATCTTATACCCTGTAAGACACAGCTGGAATTGTTGCAATTCCGAAATACCTGCTCCCTCGTCAGGAATAACAACACCCGCATTTTTCATTAATTGCAGTGCTTTCTCACGTTGTATTTTACCAGTGTCCTTACGTATTTTAGTGAGTTCCAGATCTTTGTCGACGTAAGCTTTGGCAACAACCAAAGCGCGAGGAAGGCAGAGATTATCGGTGTTTTTGATAACAACGATTCCCCGGCGTTTGGAACACTCCTCATTAAACGAGTTGTAAATATAACCACGACCTTTTCCAGCAGGCATCTTTACAGTTGTAATACCGAGACAGAACGTTTCGGTATTGAGGCCGGTGCTATTACTCTGATATATGGAACTTATCTTATTCCATACATCATCGAAAGTCACCTCGGAGGCAGGCCTGAACCTCATCCAACCCTGTCCTCGAGCAAAATCATTGGAGCAGAAGGTGAATCCAACTTGATCATGGGGTTGAATGTTCTGAGTACCCTTTACAATGATACCCTCGATAGCCTCCTTAACTTTTTTTAGGTAATATAAGTTTATTGAAATGTCATTCTGCTTTAGAGCCTACCTGTCGTATTCTTTTTTTGTATCGCTGCTTAATCATTATTGAAAATGAATTTTAATACTCTATGTATCTTTGTTAAAACCATGGCGTGTGTTAGCGTTTTATGTCGTGTTTTTAGAACCAATTACTTTACCCTATACTGAACGAGATGTTGTAGTGTCGGTTTATCTGACACGGGTTGGATGGCGGGTATACCCGTGATCCATTTCCTGGACCTGTTACCTTTTCCTTAACCCAACCTGGCGTATTCTTATAATAATTTTACTAATTTTTAAGTTAGTTTCTCTCGACATCTCATTGTATTCTATGCTTTGCAGTCTGCGTAGTAGGCATGAAGCCACCCTCCTTCTTCTGCTCGCCTTTTAGTTGGTTTCTTAATGTTTTTATCTACCTTTGAAGAGGGCTTTTTTGTACCTTGTTGTTTTCAGGACCGTCTTTAGCTTAAGGGCTTGGTTGTATGATTTTTTTGTATTGCCATCCTGCGTTCAGTTTTGCAAACTAGCCAAAGTGCTACGCGTTCTCCCTAAGCGGGACAATGCCCTATATTTTAATATCATTTTATGGAAAAACGATCGTGATTGTTAGGGAAATAGATTTTGTTTTCTTTAAACAGTCCTGTAAAGCAGACAAACATATTTGGTATTTGTGAGAGGGGTTTCAACGGTTTTTTACTTTCAGCTGTACCATTACTAAGTATAATCATCGAGTTTTAAATTTGATTCTTATACCGATTTTTTGTTAATTGTTTTTGATCCTATATTTAACCTATTTTGTACGAGATGTTGTAGTGTCGGTTTAACTGGCACGGGTGGTTGGTGGGAATACCTATTTACCTGTTCCTTAACCACTGCTCCTTTTTCCCGCCTTCCTGTCGTGTATATTTTTTTCAGTAATATTTGACGGTTAGGGTCTATTATGTGTTTTCCTATATGACTAATGCGTGCAGCGTATAATAATAATAATAAAGAAATTATATAGTAAATCTATCGCCTCTTTCTTGGAATTCCTTTTTTGAGAAAATATTATTTTGTTTGGAATATACATACTGAGTCTTGCTCACAAGACGCTTCAGTTTTAGGCATGGAAAGGTGTGAATCGCCTGCCACTAATGGATTCCTTACGCTGTGTTTGAAAATTTTAAAAGAGCATGACCTGTTACTGGACCCTTTGGCGTTGTGGCTGAATTTTTTAAACATACACACAGATGCATAGATCGTAAGTTTTTACCATTAAGTATATTTACTTTAGTTATTACTATTTATTTTGAACTCTTTATTAAATAACATGTCACCTATAATTTTCTACTTTTCATAAATAATTATTGCATTCCGAATATGTGCATTGGGTTATTATGAACTATTTGTTTATATTACGCTTACGATACCACAGAACTTTTGCGGTCTTCTGCAACACTGATATTTAACCTAATCTTTACTAATTTGTAAATAACCGAATTAGATACTCGATTCAAAACATAATTCTTTACAACTAAAAACTGTTTTTGTTAAAAATAGTTTCTCTTTATCGTGCTTTATGTTTGCGGCTTTTTATATTTAACACACATTTCTTTGAAAAATATTATTTCAAATGAAACGATGAAGTCTTCGCTGTTGTTCTACACCTAGATAACAGTTTGCGGTTTTGGCGATATCGCAACCTGCTTACAAGTTTATCAATTTCACATGTTTTTCTGCTATTCGCCTTTTAATAAAAATAATATTTTGCGGCTTTCTGCATCGGTGATATCTGTAATCTTTACTAATTTGTAAATACATTCGTAATTTTTCATATTTTAAATACTCGATTCACAACATAATTCTTTACAACTAAAAACCACCTTGTTAAAAATAGTTTCTTTTTATCGTACTTTGAGTTTGCGGCATTTCTTTAACACACAAGTTTAAATAAAAATATATGTTTGCAATACCCATATCGACAACCTTGACATTACTATTCGCTTTTGCGTTATTCTCTGCGGTTTGTATTTACACGTTATATCAACACGTTGCTTCGTATATCCCGTTCTGACCATGACACAGGTGTTACAATTTTGATAAATACTTTGTTTTTTTTATACAGATTGTTGTTACTTGATTTTAAACGGCTCTGTGGCTTAGCGACGTGGATACTTAGCTTCGGTGGTGCTAGTCCCGAGTTCGAGTCCTACACAAGGAAGACTTTTTTATTTATTTAATAAATAATACTTTGATTAAAAACTGCCGAGTTTGCGGTCGGAATCTGGGGAAATTTGAGATACGGGGCTGGGGAAATTTGCCCTATTCTCCATAAGACCGGAACAGTTTTTCCCTAGATCTGGGTACAAAAAGTGGAGTAAAGTGGCTTACTTTCTACTAGCATTTAAAGTCGCTCTTATCTAATGGTTATTAGCGATGAAAGCATAGAATACATAGATTTTACTAGTATAAATATATGTTAATTAAATATTTACAATAGTAATTATTACAATTGCTTTCAAATAGTCTGTTCCAATTTTTTCATCCAGGATCCATAGCAGGACCAATAAATTTGAAGCAGTATTTCAATAGCAAGTTTTGACCTACAAAAATGTAAAAATATTGAAGTTAGTTGATACAAAACTTTAATTTATGTAATATTAAATAGTTATTAATAATAAAAAACATTAAAAAATATATTCAGTAAAACCTGTGCCAATGGTAAAAGCCAATCAAAAGCAGCCTCTGGTACTAACGGCCAGTTTCAGCATTTCACAAACTGATTATATGCAGATTCCCTTATTCATGTCCTGGTATTTAAATAGGTATCTACCTAAAAAGGGATTAAATAACTGCATAATTAGGGTTGGCCTTTTTGATAAATACATATTTCGTTAGTTTAAAGTTTTTTCCATATTCAAATGGTTCTTAAGTTGCTACAATAATATGACGCTAATAGACAAAATAAATATAATCGCCGAAAGTGGCTTAAGTTCGAGAAAGTTGGCTGCAAAATATGAGGTTGGAAAAACTCAAATTAAAGATATAATAAAAAATAAAAGTGAGTGAAAAGAATAAAATGTTAAGAAATATGTTAACTTGAAGTAAAAGCAAAAGTTTCCGAAGTCAGAAGGACTGATAGTGTCAAGTAGTTTACAATTGGTTTTAAAAATCCAGATATAAAGAAATTCCAATATCTAGCTGCTACTTAAAGAAACTGGACTAGAGGCAGCAAGCAGTTTGAAGATTTAAAATTGGACAGCTTTAATTGGATGATTGAAAAGATGTAAGCATCATAATGTAATGGTTAAATCAATTTGTGGTGAGTCTGCGGATGTTAATTTCGACGACATAGAGGACGGGAAAATGAAAAATGTGCAGGAAAAAAGGCAGCAAAACAATGACTATTTTTCTATGTGCAAATATGGAAGGTTCAATAGAACATCCATTAGTAATTGGAAAAAGAAAAAAATCCCCACTGTGTTAAGGGTAGTCATATTGACAAATTGCCCTTAGAACAGGTTTGTAACAAAAAGGCTTGGTTGACAACAGAAATTATGACACGATGGCTGCATAAATTTGACAATAAAATGAAAAAATAAAATAAAACAGTGCTTCTTTTCCTTGATAATGCTACGTTACATTCTGTAGTACCTTAGAAAATGTTAAAATAGTCTTTTTGACATCCAACACCACTTAATATTGCCAGCCCTTAGATCAAAGAATAAATCAGAATTTCAAATTGATTTATCCAAGTTTTTTCATTAAAAGATTTTAACCGTTTATTGACAATGGATGTGATTTCGAGAATTGCGAAAATAATACATAAATTCATCCTATGCACTTATCGGGATTACAACTGCTTGGAAAAAAGTATCTCCTGCTACAGTTAAGAAATGTTTTTCTAAAGCCAACTTCTCTGATGTCATTCAAGAAGATCCACATTATGATGAAGAGGATTATACATGTCTATTGCCCATTTCGTTCCAAACGAAATTTTAGATTTGGATGAATTTGCTTTCATCAAGTGATATAGCAGTGATATAGCTACAGAGAGATCTAAGTTCGATAATGATGAAAAAGACAAATCTGACAATAGTGATATGGATGAATGTGCAAAATTTAGGGATGTAGAAAATTATTTATTGTGCAAAAATAATGATGAAATAATAATAAACAAACCAAAATTTACACATACATACTTTAAAAAGTTTTTTTTTAAGCATCTGTTTGCTAAAATGCTATGAAAAAACATGTTTTTTCCTAGCATAGTATGTAGTTTTATGTTTTGTATTAGTGAAACGGGTAGTGGTTCTTTTAACACCATCCAAGTGTAGCTGAATAAATATTCTTTCGGCTGGGTACAAATAATTAGGTTCAAATAACTTCACAATATTCCTTCGACTTGTGATGTATCACCAATTAGCGGTGGTTCCTTTTATTTTATGGATTTTAGCTTCATTCGGCAGTTGAAATGTAAGAGAGTTCGTTGTGAAATCTTTCGTAAAGTAAAATTTTAAATATCGCAGTGCTGCAGCGAGGGGAAAGAGGTAGGAACGTTGTTGCCAAGATTGGATTAATTCCCAACGTACTACCTGGCCGTTGAATGTCTCCGTAAATAATGCCGTAATAATGAGGTAGTCAGAAAAGAAAAGACATATCTAATGGTTAGGTTAGAACGTGAGAAGATACAGAAAATTTAAGATATATGAACAAGAAATTAAGCAAGAACAAAAAATAAAGCAAACAAATCAAAATTAAGAATCTTGAGGCAATGAACAGAGCTTTGTGATGGCCCTAATGAAGACTCCTTCACTGGTTCGAATCCGTACAGCTCTGACCTTTCCGTCTAAACCAGGAAGTATTTCCAATGTTCTGACTAAAGGCCACTTAAGGGGGAGTCTCATCCTCCAAGAGAACAAGATTATTTATTTTCAAATTTTTCTTTAATTTAAAACCGCGCCCGTCCCTGTAATCGGTTTAAATATTCTAAATAAAATCTCTTCCAAAAGAACTGTTAAAGCTGAGTACAGCGTTGAAAGAAGTCTATTTTCAGGTATGTGAGTGATTCCTTGTTTAGGCTAAGAAGTAAGTGTAGTGTTTATAAAAAATGTCCCGGAGTCAGGCATTTTAAATTGGCGGGGTCGCGAGATAGAAGGCAAATTAGTCTGGAATTTAATATCTGAATTAGTAAAGAAGCTAATTGTTCAAAAGTCAAGTGGGCGTTACTTTTTTTTTGGGAGGTGGAATCTTCAACAGACCGTCTTGGATCGGGTGTCAGCCTTTTACCCAGGTGTGTCGGATTCAATCTCTCACGCTTCACCGCATGACCGACTAAACTACCTCCTCTTTCTCCGACCAACGGGCCCGGAACCGCTCTTAGCAAGCATATCTGGCCAGTCAGCCTTACTGATAACTTCCCTCTGGCACTTTTCGCGTGCATTAAATGGATTTGACGGCCTTCACTCACCCGCATAAGGCCCGGACTAGACTGGCTGGCTCGCTCGGGCTACCGAAGCTACCGTCCTGCTCAATCCTTATGCCGGCGAGACAGCTTGGTTGCCCCCCTTCCACATTGGAACTAACGAGTGGAACCAGTTGGCAATTAACAGTAACACCATTCATTCGTACTTCCATCAATTCAGTCCCGCATTCATACCTTCATTCACTAATTTTTGGGGTATCTGGACATCCGACGGGATTGGATGTAAAAAGTCTTTTCCAGTCCCATCTCCCATGGCCCTTACCATGAAATAAAATAAATAAATTACTAAATAAAATAGATAAAACAAATATATTGTTTCCTGATTTGAGTTTCCTTGCTGTTATATTCAAATCTCAGTCGAAATGAAAATATTCGGCCAAATGTAATAATTTTAAATTTAACTTACTTTGTTACATTGAGATGACAACGAAGATAATAGTTATTTTTTGTTCTACTGAAATAGCATAAGATCTGCCTTTTATCTACTGTAATCTGCGTTTCAATAAACATGTTTTACATGTTAATTTATTCTAGAAGTAAAAAATCCTTATGAAAAATAATACTTTACTTAATAATTATTACATTAAATGTTATATTTTTAATTTAAATTTGAAATTGTATACTAATTATTCTGATTCTTATGATAAACATTTTATTTTAGAGTGACGAAGGATACTTGGGGTGGTTAGATATATCCATTGGACAAATCGTTGGGCTTTACAATACTGGATTAGGTAGATTATCTGTATTGTCTCAAAATCCTTGGAATGCCACATTATGTTTAGGGCATGCCAAAGGTGTCGTGTCATTTTGGTCACCCACTTCTAAAGATCCTTTAGCCAAAATACTTTGCCACAAAGCACCTATTATTGGACTTCACGTTGATCCTACAGGAACGTAAGTTTATTAACTCAAACTTTATCCAATCAAAATATACCAGCTTTCATAAGAATATACAGTTTTCCAGTAACTGTCAAGTTATTATAATTTTTTAGATCTCTTCCAAAAAATATTGAATTTTGGAGGTTTTCAGTAGATATAGTGTTATTTATGTTCATATTTAATGACTAATTTATTATTTATAGTTTCATTCAATCTTTCGACCGGTGTGCACTTAGTGAATTTTAATTAAGCCAGTTTAGTACTTTTGATTCTTGGTAAAGCATACAGCACTTTATTATTTCATATTCAAGAATTATGGACGATATAATAGGCGGGGATCAGCCCCCGCCTAAATAAGTTCCACAGATGAAAATAAAAATTCAGGTATGGATACAACAAATAATATTAAACATTTTCATATAAATAACAAATATGCGACAACATCTTCTTCATTCTTTTTGTTTCTTGTACCTTTTTTCCTTGAGACATATTGAGACTTTACTTGTTCAAATTAAATTAAAAATAAAATCTATAATTTTTTTTTTATGAAAATTAATTTAATTATATGAGAGCACTTATCTTCCCAAACTAATTCTTTTAAATAGAGAGCCCCACGTTGGGCGCCACTATTGTTATGATGTTTTGTTTGTATATGAGCAATGATTGTTTAAAATAAAATATATGAGTATAGGGTTTTTATCGCGGTTCTCAAAGAATTAGTTTGTAAGTACTTTTTTAAATTATCTTTATTATAACTATTATGAAACAGACATATATATCTAATATAAACAATATAAATTTAAAACAACCTATCTAAAATTTGAAATTCTTACAATTATTAAATTATATTAACACAATTTGGTACCTTTCCATCACTGAATGACTAAACTTTTCCAAAATCTAAGTTATAATCACCACTAAATATCTTCTTAATCAGCTTCGGTTATCCTTGTATTTGTGAAATTGCATATAGATATTATAATCTAAAATTCTTGTAATCTCCATATAATATATTATACTCCTGTATTGAACTATCTATATTGAATTAATTTACTATCATACTCTCCAACTGTATCTGACTTAATGAATTCTTCCAAGTTAATCCATTCTTCTAATTTAATTTAATTATAACTGTCTTGAACTAACTTTCTTGTAGAATCTTAATTTAATTGTAACTGACTGACTGACTTCATCTCACTTAATTAATGCTTTCTACTAACTTAATAATTAACTGTAACTTAATCAATTGACTGTCACTTAATGCCTGCCTGCTCCAAATTACCTGGTATTTATATGCTTTTATCCTTCCAGACTTTTCTAGCAATCAACCATGTTCGAAACTCTTTATCTCATCAATATGTGAAAGTTCTGGAATAATCGACTATGCAAATACGCCTAACTGCCTTGTATATTGACGTTTTCCAGAAAAATCTAGTGAGAACCTTATGAACATTTAGGCTGTTTAGATCAGAATTCACTATATATATATATATATATATATAATATATATATATATATATATATACAGGGTGTCCCGGAAAATAGTGCGTTCCTTAACGATATGTGCAGATTACAGCATTTAAAACAAAAAAGTCTTATAACATTTTTTTAAAAAGTTAACCGTTTTCAAAAAAAAAAAAATAATTTTAATCGATTGGATTATTGTTCGCAGAAAAGGAAATACAGACGGCAACGTTGCGTTCCTTGTTATTCTTCGTGATTTACTGTAAATCAGCTATGATGAATCATCGATCATTAGGCATAATATGTATTGATACTGATTAACAGTGATAGAGAAAAAGCATAAATATATTTGTTTTTATTAAATATTTAATAATTAAAGTTTGAATACTGTTTTTACATACGTGGAAAATTATTATTACAATAAATTGTACTCGTTGGTAATGGTAAGGATGTAAGAGTTGTTCCGTAAATGTCTTGTGAACAATGTTTTTTGAAACACCAACCATTCTAGCCACAGATCGGGTACTTACACTTGGATTATTACTGACTATATCCAAAATCGCATCTTCTGCATTTAGTCTACGGTTACTTCGTGTTCTACCACTAGTTTTTTTAGGTATCACACAACCCGTCTCTAATAACCTTTGGGACACGTTCACAAAACTTCGGGCATTAGGATGTCGTCGTCCGGGATAGCGTTCAACATAAAGTCTAACAGCACTATTACTGTCACAGTGAGCTTCACCGTACGTAATTAACATATCGTGATACTCGCGAATCGAAAACATGACAATACTATATTCTTTAGCTACGGGTAATTACAACTGTTTACAAATAATGTACCTTCTCTGTATCAAAATAAATTAAACTATCAGATTCTACCCATACCTATTGGAGCGCAACGTTGCCGGATGTATTTGCTTTTCTGTGGATACTAATCAAATGGATTAAATTTAATATATATTTTTTTTTGAAAACGGTTGACTTTATAAAAAATTGTTATAAGACTTTTTTGTTATTAATGGTACGCTCAGCCCATACCTTTAAGGAACGCACTATTTTCCGGGACACCCTGTATATATATATATATATATATATATATATATATATATATATATATATATATATAAACTAAATATCTTACACTCATATACTACTATTTTACATCCGTATTTTATTTAAATTAAACATCCCAAATAATAAATAACCCCACTTCACATCCAAATGTCAAATAACACAGTGTCTATTTGGTTGCCTATGCACATGGCTCAATTAAATATGTTTATAATTAAAAAAAAACTTTTAACATTTATTATTATGCTAAATTCTTAAAAATACCCTCATATAATTATTTTTTAATAATATTCGCTAGTATATAACTTATAAATTATTTCTTTAACCACTATTTAAGTTTATTAATTAAACATCATAATATTACTATGCTAATTTCTTGTATATCTATTATTATTCCAATATATATATATATATATATATATATATTATATATATATATATATATATATATATATATATATATATATATATGTAGGCTTTGTTGTGTTGTCTAGGGTGTAAAATAAAGCTTTGCTTACTAAAAGTATTTATTATTGCCACTACAACTGTTCGTCTAGGTAATAATGTTCGTGCACAATAGCAATATCACTCTTATTCGCAAATGTCTCGTGTCTATCGTCGTACTATTAACGTCGTTTAGTACTCGATAGCGTCGTTTGTATGATCTCTGATTTCGCACATACCGTCGTCAATGTATGTTATATCACATACCGTCGTTTATTTCGTCACTTTGTATGCCGCACATGCACATACCGTACTTTTGTAACCGCTCTCTCTGCTACGTCTTATCACGTCGCTGTCTCGTCGTCGAGTTCCCACCCATTTGCCTGAACACCCGTGTCCCAGCGCTCGAACAGTGGCGTAACGATAAGTTCTAACTTAAGACTAAAGTAACTAATTCCTACACTCGGCCGTCCTGATCAGAATCCGCCTCGGATTCCGAGTGGTTATCAATCCACGGCTTCATGAACGCTGCGCATGTAGAGGTTTTAATTGGACCATCGAATGTCCCCACTTTAGCGACATCATAACGCTCATTAGCTTTAGCGTTCACTATTTCGTAAGGCCCCAAAAACTTTTTGTCAATTTTAAGGCCGGGACTCAATTGTGTACGTTTGATGGCCACCAAGTCTCCAGCGCAATGCTTCCTTGCTTTTTTCCTTCTAAGGTTATAAGTTCTGGTATTCTCTCTTTGTACCTTACTAATTTGTGTCCTGGCACCTTCTCGGATCTTCTCTCTGGCTTCGTTAAATTCCTCTACTGCTTCTTTCTCTAATAGATTTATTATAGCTAAATCTTCTTTATTTTGCATTTTTACGCCAAATAATACTTCAGCAGGCGTTGCGGCTACACTTCTCTGAAAAGTAGAGTTTAAAGCTCTCTGTACCCGCCCTACGTATTTATACCATTTTGTCGCGTCATCTAGACTAAGTTTGGTTAGTACTGGTATAAGACTTCGGTTTATTCTTTCCACTTGTCCATTTCCGCGCGGGACTCCAGCTGAAATCAATGTGCGTTGGATGCCTTCTCTTTTGCAATAATCTTCAAACTCGTGAGATGTAAAGGCTGTACCCCTATCCGTTATTATTCGACTAGGGTTTCCAAAAATCTGCCTCTGCCCTTCTAAACATTTCAGTACTTCTTGGGTCGTGGTCGATTTCGTCGGATATAGCCACGTAAATTTAGAGAAATCGCAAACGATTACCAATAGGTGTTTATAATTTTTGTTAGTCGATGTAATTGACCCCAAATGATCAGCGTGGTAGGTGTGAAGTGGACCTTTCTTAGGTATGGGATGTAGAAATCCCTCCTTTTTGCCCTCCTTTCTGCTTCCTAGAATACAAGGTAAACAATTTCTAATACAATCCTTAATTCTCTCAGGTAGTTTTTCAATGAAGAATTCTCTTTTTACTACTTCTTCCGTTTTCGCTATTCCGAAATGTCCTAATTCGTGACATTGTTTAATGACTTCAAGCGCCATTCCCTCTGGTATCGCCAATAATTCCTTTCCCTCTTTGTATCTGTACAAGATATCGTTTTTTAAAAAATAATCGTCGTAGTTTTGATCTAATTCCAGAATTTTGGTGATTATGTTTAAGTGTCCATCACCTCTTTGCGCGTTTCGGATCCTTTTAACTAACGCATCATCCACAAGAGTTTCTTGCATTAACATCGTCGTTGGGTTTCTACTAAGGGCATCCACGTGTGGCATTCGACATCCTTTTCGATGTTCTATTTCGTATGAATATTCTTCCAAAAGTAACGCCCATCTAGCCACTCTAGTAGTTAAATCTCTTTTATCCATCGTCTTTTGAAATGCAAGGCAATCCGTAACAATCTTGAATTTAGCGCCCAGCAGGTAAATTCTAAACTTCTTGATAGCTTCAATAATCGCAAGAACTTCTAACTCGTAGCTGGAATACTTTTCCTCGGCTGGTGTGGTCTTCTTGCTCATATAAAAAATCGGATGTAAACGG